CTACAGACCCCTCACATTCTGGACATAAATTGTTTCAACTCCTACCCTCAAAATGACGCTAGAGAGCCCTGCACACCAGAACAGCTAGACACAAGGGCAGTTTTTCCCCGAACGCCATTGCTCTGTTAAACAACTAATTCCCACAACAGTGTCCAACTATTTATGAAGACTGTATTGTTATTACTCTTCTCATCCTTCCTATTACCCATCTCTTCCCACTTATGACTATAATCATGTTGCTTGTATCTTTACAATTTGTCTTGTTTGTTTTCCTAGTATGTTTTGATTGCATATGAGTAACCCATGTATGATTTGATTGCTTATTAGTAACCTATGACTATCCGTAAGTGTTGTATCTTATGATTCTTGATGGATGTCTTTTATTTTTTCTTATGTACACTGAGAGCATTTGCACCAAAGACAAATTCCTTGTGTGTCCAATCACGCTTGGTCAATAAAGAAATCTATTCTATTCTATATTCTATTTTCCCCGAGCTGATGGAAATAGGCTGTCTAGTCTGAAAAAAAGAAAAATATTTTTTAGAACTAACCTGACCCCTTTTTCTGAATAAAATTGCTAACAAAGCTGTTTCAAGCATGGACAGTGTGAGTCCTATTTATGAATCAACACACTTAAAAAAACAAAAAAAACTGGAAGTGTGTGTGTGGAAAAATAGCACACAACAGTTGTGAAATACCGCAACAACTTTATGACAAGTGGGCGGTGGAAGATTTTCGTAATAAGGATGCAAAAATGACACACACACCCGCCCGGGGACACTGTGACAGTCATAAATATGAGTCAGTTGCCAAGCCTGAATTTTGATCATGTGACCATGGGGGAATAGTGCAGTGGTCGTAAGTGTGAAAACAATGGGGCCAAGCTCACATAACAACCGGCGCACTTTGCAAGGCATCAGGGAAACCTCCTGGGGGGGGGGTGTTTTTGCTCCCAGAAGGAGCAGGAAGGCAAAAAGCACATAGCTCCCCCCACCCCCCTATCATGGACCCCCACATGACCCTTTTTGCCTTCCTGGACCTCAGAGAAGCCTCCTGGGTGAAGTAGTGAGACAGTGAGGGGGATCCAGGCACAGCTGATCATCCTCTCCTTCCTTCCTCCTGTCCTTCCTTCCTTCCTTCCTTCCTTCCTTCCTTCCTTCCTTCCTTCCTTCCTTCCTTCCTTCCTTCCT